CCCCTGAATAGAGGTTGTTATCAGCCCTGGTCACGTTGCATGTTCTCATTCACATGCACTTGGATACAGTTTCACATAGACACACATGCACAAAGAGACCCTTTCGAACTCTCTCTTTGCACACACACACACACACACACACACACGCCGACGCCCTCCCCCGAGTAGCCCAGTAGAAGGGCATGCCTTTGTCAGCAGATGTCAGGACGCAGGTGTGTGTTCCTGTGCCTCTCGCTCCATTCGTTTCATCCTCTCCTCCAGAGGCTGCCCATTTGTCTGTGGCCCTGTTTCATTTCAGCCCACTCCAATCCCCCCCCCTCACCGGCCCCCCCACCCCCCCCCCAAGAGGACGCCAGTGTGTCTGTTGTATTAAAGGGGAGGAGGGGAGTAGAAAGCACAAACCCTTCCTTCTTGTCGATGCTACTGTAGCATTCCTGCTCAACCTTTAAGATTAGATGAGTCAGACTTTGGGTCCAGGTGTCACGCTGAGGTTACCTCGCTCTGTTTTTGCCCGTTTTTCACACTCGCTTTCATTGTCTCTTACAGCGAGCCTCATTATTTCTGTGAAACTGCGAGGAATTCTTTTCAAAACATATGTAAGGCAAGGCGAGTTTATTTCTATAGCACATTTCAAAGACATCAAAAAGCATCGTGACAGAGGAAGGAAAAGAAACGCTAAAAAATCCCTGAAATGATTCAATCTGAAAATATGTTCAAATAAAAATAATTCAAATGAAATTAATTGAAATAAATAAAGTAAAAATATCAAGAGTTAAAAGTTACAGTGCAAAATCTTATTAAAATTGCTTAAAGTCTTTATATGTGATGTTTTGATCCAGCAGATGTCGCCCTTGAGCTCCAGCATGAAAACAAAACAACTGGCGCTGCATTGTTGTGTTAGCATGCTAATGCTAGCGATCTTTATTATGCTGGTATCTTCACACTGCATGTAAATTTACCTGAAATGAGCGTGATCTAGAAACACAGTTAAGCAGTGAGTACAGTATGTTATTCTTCTTTTCTCTAGTCCCTCAATTAAACAACTTTTATACACGAGGGGAGGAGTCAGCCGGCCGTCCTGGCGATGTAAACAAAGTGAAGATAGGACTCTGAAAACTCTGAAAACATCACAGACAGTGGGACTCGGGTGTTACACCCATTGTAGACAGTCATGACTCACAGAGTTATTTTCAGAGGAGATACTGATTTCTACATTTAAGTGTAAAAAATCACATAGAAAGACTTTAAAGCTGTTTAATTAAAGGCTGTAAACAGGTGAGTCTTCAACCTTGATTTTAAAAGAGCTGAGAGTTTCAGCAGACCTGCAGTTTTCTGGGAGTTTGTTCCAGATATAAGGAGCACAGAAACTGAACGCTGCTTCTCCGTGTTTGGTTCTGACTCTGGGGACAGAGAGCACACCTGTCCCATGTACAGAAAATAAGAAGAGCACGAGGCACCAGGTTCTGTAAATGAATGTTTTTTTGCTAAGCGGGAGATAAAAGGCTTTATCCAATGACAGGAACAGGAACGTGATAAGACCTTTCACAGCAGTAAAAGTCACCGGGATGTGTCATTGGCAGATTTTTGCACCTTCAGCATTCCTCAATGTGCATAACATTACTAGATGATGACTGGTTTAAAGTCAGCGCACTCACACATATAATCACACACACATATGCATACAGTAGCTTCACAGATGCAGTGCAGTGGATGTAACATCAGGGTTTGGCTTTTTCCAATTTATTTCATCCAACGGCCCCCGCCCCACCCTCACAACGCCTCATTGCAGACGTTAATGACTTCTGCAGAGTAACCGCTTAAAGAGCGCTAAGGGAGGGAGAATGATTGGTGGGAACACGTGGAGTATTTATCAACCCCTCTGCGATAGGTGAGTCTGAATCCCCCCCCCCCCCAAAAAAAAAAAAAAAGCTCAGGTGCCCACTTCCATGTGCCTGCCAACACTGCTCAGTCAGTTCCCACCTTTTGGACTCACCAGCCCATGAAAGTGAAATATAGGAAGCTCGTAAAAATGACACGTAGGTATGAGTTGTCAAAGAGCTCGGTAATTGAAGAAGGTGCAATGAGGCTGTCGGAGCGCTGAATGAGCAACACCTATGTTAAGAACAGTGGACAAAGGCCGGACAGACATGAAGGTATAACAGTCGTTGACAGAGTCTGGAAGTAGCCCCTGGGCATTCATCCTTTTTCTCCCCTCCCAACAAGCACACCCACTCCCCCTCCATCCGCCGTCGCCGCTCTACTTTTGCGCCCATTCAAGCTGCAACCTGACAACAAAGACAGAGATGTGTTTAGCAGGCAGGTCTTTGCTGGTTTATTCCTCCTGTCCAGTGGAGCGGAGGAGCCAGAGACACTCTGTTTGTCTCTTCTGTTTGCCGTCTCCATCGTGTTCTCTCTCTCTCTCCTCTGGATCCCACCACCACCACCGTCTCCACATCTATCCATCCATCCGCCCTGCAGGGCTCAGAGAGACAGGATGGCGTTTTCACAAAGCAGGTTTAGCCGTTAAATTGGACATGCTAAGTTTTGTCAACAAGACCGAGAGCCGCTTAGATTCACAGCAACATAAAGCGATCTGCAGGTTTCAATCTGGGTCAAAGGGAAGCCGGTCTAATAGGGATGAACCGCCAACTGATCCAGCTCCAGCCTAATCTTTCTATACCAAACTTCAGAAATTTAGATGGCCATTTTTAGATATTTAGCCCGTTTATTCTTTAATCCAGGAAAATCGCTCATTGGCTGGAAACATCCCAGTAGTGGTGGATTGTCCTCCTTTCCAGCTTGTACTCTAGGCTACCACTATCCTTTTGTTTCCTACCTCCTACCTCCTCAGACTCCTTCTCCTGTCAAGTGTGCTGTAAATGTAGAGGAAGGCTTTTAACCCTAGAGTTTTTAAGCTGGAGTTGAGGTGAGTCATTGCCAAGTCTTAGGACTTAGAGGCACAGACAGACGGGCTGCTGGAAGCGACTAGTGCTTCCTGGACAGACTCCTGTCTGGCCCACAATTGATTGGGTCACCTCAGGGGAACAGGCTCCACCAAAAAGAAACTGCATCGTGTGCAAACTTATCATTGTCCTCCCCGCTGTCGGTGCTGGGTCTTACCTGAAAACAGATGGGAACAAGACATCCGCCTAAGGTATAGATTTACACCTCTGCAGCAGAACGGGATAAACTGTCAAAGTCTGTTTCTGTGTATATTGTAAAAAGTATTTTCTTTTCTCTTTCTTCCTTAAAACTATTTCGAAGTTGTTTTTGTCCAATCCAATACCCCGTATCTCAGCATTCACTGAGAATTGCATTCAGCTTGTTGCATCTTGTTCTTTGGTTCTTTTTGTACACTTTGCAATTTCAGAGCCTAGTCAAGGAATGTAATAAAGGAGCGCAAGAGCCGTGTAGTGTCAGAGATAAAAAATGTCTCAACGCTGGCTAATGGTGCAACTGTGAACCTGCACATAGCTGCACAGTCATCCAAACACAGAGCTGTGGTTTCTTTGACAAAGAGCAGCCCTTTGTGTCCATGCTGCAGACGTCCAGCTGTTTGTTTTGAGGATACAGCAGATGCATGCCTGGATGAGGGTGAAAGGGAGCTGGTTAAAATGTATGTCTTTTAAATAATTTGTATTTCATTAAAGATTGAGTCGAGTTCTGGGCAGCCTTTTGCATATTTCAAAAAATCCTCCCCTCTCAACCTCGACTGAAACCTGCAGAGGTATTGAGTGGCTGTTGGTGTTATTTTGAAACACAACAAGACGTAATAGTTCACACCTTACCTGCAGAGGCACGATGTGTTTCCCCCCCGCCCGCCATATCTCGGATGCAGTCGGGTTTCAGAGAGAGCGAAAGAGAGAGAGAGAAACAGTGAAACATGAGCGCTCCTGATTTTCTCTGTCTGTGTCCGCGGCTGTCTGCCAGAAACTGCAGCCTCGGAGAGATTTGTTACATACGAGTTGTTGGGCTATCATTAAGCCGACATATGGCTGCGTGTTTATTGTAAAAGATGGAAGCCTATGGCAGGAGAGTTTATTGTAAAAAGATGGGAGCTTATCACTTGTAGCAAAACTTCTGTTGGCTACACAAAAAAAGAAAAAAAAAAAGAAGAAGGGAGGTTTCATTATATTATTTTCCATTAATTTGTCCACAGCTGGTGGTGATGAAAATCGACCAGGAGGGGGAAGGAAGTGATTTAGAAAAAGTGTGAGAGCACATGAGGAGAGAAAGACATACAGACTGTGTTACACCAGCTGCTTCAAAACCGACTCCTTCAACGTGTCTGAGTTTGTGTTTGAGCCTCTGCAAACCTCAGCTCTCGACTCTGAAGATGCACGTGATGATGCATGTGTGCACGTTTTGAGTTTCAGCTCAAGTCGAGTAAAAACCCGAAAAAGATTAGAACATCGTGCAGGAGCAGCGGCGGCGGCAGCACTGATTTGCCCCCTTCCTCTACCGGTCGTACCTAATTATTTATCAGATGAAAACCTGTAATACACAGAAACATCTTGTCAGTTTGCCCAAACTGCATTAACTCCGGTTAGCCGACATCATGCAGCAGTTTTAGAAATCGCCCCCTCTTCTGCATCACATCTCATAAGACTTTTGCTGCTAACAGCTTTCCACAAATCACCTCCTATCAGTTCTCCGGGCGCACTGAGGAGAGCGGCGTGCATCAGCTTGTAGCTGTAGGGCTCGAGCAGAAACCGGCGCTTTTCTTTTATTAAATTGAATCCATTATACCCCGAGCTGGCTCCGCTTCATGTGATCCTTTGGCAGATTTTCAACTATTGCACACGGCAGCGTTGTGTTTGGCATGTGAGATGTATCTTTTTTTTTTCTTTTTTTTTTTACACCATTTTTTTTTTTAGAAATTGTAAGTTTCACAAATATTGTGAAGTTCTCACATTTTTTGTTATTTTCTGTTTCTCTTCCAGCCAGCTCTACGTTTCACAAACTTCTTTTAAATCTCTTCTTCTTCTTCTTCCTCCCAGAGCTTTCCCTCCGACGAAGGATGGCCGTTCGCCAAGTACCTGGGAGCGTGCGGGCGCATGGTGGCCGTCAACTACGTGGGCGAGGAACTGTGGAGCTTCTACAACGCGCCCTGGGAGAAGCGGGTGGACCTGGCGCGTCAGCTCATGGACATCGCCGAGCAGCTCACCAACAACGACTTCGACTTCGCCCTCTACCTGCTTGACGTCAGCTTCGACAACTTCGCCGTCGGCCCGCGCGACGGGAAGGTCATCGTCGTCGACGCCGAGAACGTCCTGGTGGCGGATAAGAGGCTGATCAAGCAGAGTGAGTGAACGGGATCGTTGTTACCTGTACTAATATTTGTGTGTGGGTGAAAATTTGCTTTTGATCTCCCTCGTTGCCATGACGACCACGTGTTCTTGACCATGCATGTTGGATTCTTCTTTATGTTAACACGTATACAGCTCAGAACATAAACCTCTATCATGGTTTTCTGCTTTTTACACTCTGAAACATGACGTAAAACTCCACTCAGGTCCTGACTATGACTGCAGACCACAGCTGTAGTGACTAAGGTTGGAGGAAAGGTCTCAAGGGACCGAGGGCCGCGCTGCTAGCCCAGGCCGAGAACATCCGCCCCCCCCCCCCGACACGCTACCTTAAATCAAAGCAAAGAAGATCGTTTGGATAGCAAGCCATCTCTTGCTGCCCTACTTATTTTTTTTGTGTATGCCTCTCAGAATAAACCTCATAATAACAAGGACAGAGAGAGAGTTATACATCACATACTCGGTGTGGCCGTTTCCGACCCCTGAGCCCCCCCCCCCCCGAGTGCTGGGGCTTCAAAGAGAGGGACGACCACCCAGTCGGGCTCTGAGATTTGTCCCTTCCTGCTGAAATCCTATTAAAGTGATAAACTGTTTTGTCGCTTGCTGTTGAGGTTCCACCATTGTGCCTTGTGACAGATGTGTGTGTGTGTGTGTGTGTGTGTGTGTGTGTGTGTGTGTGTGTGTGTGTGTGTGTGTGTGTGTGTGTGTGTGTGTGTGTGTGTGTGTGTGTGTGTGTGTGTGTGTGTGTGTGTGTGTGTGTGTGTGTGTGTGTGTGTGTGTGTGTGTGTGTGTGTGTGTGTGTGTGTGTGTGTGTGTGTGTGTGTGTGTGTGTGTGTGTGTGTGTGTGTGTGTGTGTGTGTGTGGACTTGGAGGGAAGTAGTTTGATAAATTCATCCTGAGGTAAACAGCCGCTTTGCCAATTAAAAGACATGACACTTGAAAAGAGCAAAGAGACGCTCACAGCATGTCGAGGTACTTTCACATTTCAAGTTTGTCATACAGCTTTATGTTATACCACACCAGTATGACAAATGTTGTGATGTTTACAAGATATAAAATAATGCCAGTGAAGCAAAAGTCTATTCTGGACTCTTACTCGCTTCATTTTCACTTTGGCTCGATCCCTTGACTTCACACGGAAATGTGACATTTGGCTCGGGGTCTGGCAGGAAAAAAGCCTGGGAAAGAAATTTTGGCTGTTTGGGTTCACACATGAAGCGGGACGTTTTGGGACATTTTTTCAGGAGTTTTGTGCATGTGTGAAAACACCAATATAAGTCAGGGTTATTCAGCTAAATCTGATGCATGTGTCATCATGTAGCTGTGTGTGTGTATGTGGGTAAATACACCCCCCGGCTCTTTGCCACATCTGAATCCCGGTCCAGGTTGAGACTCTCTTTGTGTGTCTGACACATTCACAGCCTGACAAGTCAAGCTGCTTAAAGACCATTCAGAGTTTAAGCCCCAAGAATGTTTATGTGCCACTTGTGTGTGTGTGTGTGTGTGTTTGTGTTAGTGTGTTGGAACCGTGTTTGTGCGCGTGCCAAGTCTCTTGGGGCGCAGCACGAGGAAGAGGGATGACGGCGGTAATCAGTCTTGACGAGGTCACAGTAGAAGTAGAAAAAAAAAAAAGGGGGCGGTGACCTCGCAGAGTCCGATCCCGACAGTTTAGAGACTCTGGTTGAAAGCCAGTTTAGGTGTGTGGTTTTGAGGTCAGTTGATGGAACCTGCAGATAATAATAATAATAATAATAATAATAATAATAATAACTTTATTTCTATAGCACCTTTTAAAAACACAGGTTTACAAAGTGCTTTGACAAACAAGAACAAACTAAACCAAACACAGAAGAACATAAACAACAGCAAGAACATAACAAATGTAAAATACTAAAAATAATTAAATACAATTCAACAGAAAAGAACCCAAAGTGCACGATACCCAACAGACATATAGAACCAGACCATCACAAGAACCATCATAAGAACCATCAAAAGAACCATCACAAGAACCATCACAAGAACCCAGGCAACACAAGAACCATCACAAGAACCCAGGCAACACAAGAACCATCACAAGAACCATCACAAGAACCCAGGCAACACAAGAACCATCACAAGAACCCAGGCAACACAAGAACCATCACAAGAACCATCACAAGAACCATCACAAGAACCATCACAAGAACCCAGGCATCACAAGAACCATCATAAGAACCATCACAAGAACCATCACAAGAACCATCATAAGAACCCAGGCATCACAAGAACCATCATAAGAACCATCACAAGAACCATCATAAGAACTCAGGCAACACAAGAACCATCACAAGAACCATCACAAGAACCATCACAAGAACCCAGGCAACACAAGAACCATCACAAGAACCATCACAAGAACCATCACAAGAACCCAGGCATCACAAGAACCATCACAAGAACCATCACAAGAACCATCACAAGAACCATCATAAGAACCATCACAAGAACCATCATAAGAACCATCACAAGAACCATCATAAGAACCATCACAAGAACCATCACAAGAACCATCACAAGAACCATCACAAGAACCATCACAAGAACCATCACAAGAACCATCACAAGAACCATCATAAGAACCATCATAAGAACCATCACAAGAACCATCACAAGAACCATCACAAGAACCATCACAAGAACCATCACAAGAACCATCACAAGAACCATCACAAGAACCCAGGCATCACAAGAACCATCACAAGAACCATCACAAGAACCATCACAAGAACCATCACAAGAACCATCACAAGAACCATCACAAGAACCCAGGCATCACAAGAACCATCACAAGAACCATCACAAGAACCCAGGCATCACAAGAACCATCACAAGAACCATCATAAGAAACATCACAAGAACCATCATAAGAACCATCATAAGAACCATCACAAGAACCATCACAAGAACCATCATAAGAACCCAGGCAACACAAGAACCATCACAAGAACCATCACAAGAACCATCACAAGAACCCAGGCAACACAAGAACCATCACAAGAACCCAGGCAACACAAGAACCATCACAAGAACCATCACAAGAACCATCACAAGAACCATCACAAGAACCATCACAAGAACCCAGGCATCACAAGAACCATCATAAGAACCCAGGATCACAAGAACCATCACAAGAACCATCATAAGAACCATCACAAGAACCATCACAAGAACCCAACAACACGAGCTGAGACCAAGAGGAACCAAAGATAGCTGATAACCTGCTGTTCTCGTCAGCACTTGATGCCACCATTGTTGTTGAGATAAAAACACACACCGTGTTGAAGTTGTGCTCGGGCGCCGTGTTGAAGTTGTGCTCGGGCGCCGTGTTGAAGTTGTGCTCGGGCGCCGTGTTGAAGTTGTGCTCGGGCGCCGTGTTGAAGTTGTGCTCGGGCGCCGTGTGTTTGCACGGTCCAGCGGTGTGAAAGGAAACCATTCGTCCATCGTTGAGTTTGCAGCATCGGAGGATGTTTTTTGGAAACACATGCTGTATAATGTAACACACACTTCACTCCTCATTCTCTTCTCCCGGACACAGTTTGCTCGCTGGCTTTATACAAACACACATTCAAGCAGCTGGACTCTAAACACACACGCACACACACACACACACACACAGGTCTCTCCATCTCTCACATTCAATAATGCACTCAAACACAGGCATGCATTGTTAAAACCGCCTCGTACTTCTGAATGCCACTCGTAAGGCCACGCTAACAAGCATTTCAGGGCCCGGCGTCCCTCCTCGGTGCAGCCGCAAGGAAGGCAGGGGGAGTGAGGTGAATGTATACCATCCTGAGCTCCTTAACATGGAAGGTACCGGATACACAGGAGATGAGAGGAGAGCTACCTCTTCCACCCTGCTCTCTCTCCCCACTCATTTGAATTGGAAATGATTTCCTTTTTGCTTTTGGAAATGTTGGGAGCTTTGTTACTCTCCGGCCTGCATAAAAGAAAAGAATGGAAACAGAGGGAGGGATTGTGGTGCAAGTAAATAGACTTTCTTTTTTAGACTTTCTTTGTCTTTCACTGCTCATCTTCGCCCTTGAGTTTGAACCTTTCCCTTTTGCTTCTTGTTCTTTTTTAGGCGCTCTGCCTGCCTGCTGTGTGTGTGTGTGTGTGTGTGTGTGTGTGTGTGTGTGTCTACATCTGTGTGTTTGTGTTAGAGAAGAAGAACAGGACACTCTCCTGGTGCCATCTGTCAATCATTGCCGAGGTGTGATGCACGGCCGGCTCTGAAACATTAATTGCTTTCACCTCACCTTGCTGCTTGCACGCGTCCATTATACTTCTGTGTGTGTGTGTGTGTGCGTGTGTGTGTGTGCTCGTCGCATGCGTACACAGGCAGCAGCAGATCCATCTTCATCACCCACACTGATTGAGGTTGATGTGCCCCTCCTCCTCAGGGGGAGGGGGGTGTGCACCAGGGGGCCCTCGGTAACAGGGCAGCACTGCATGTTTGATTGAGTTGTTCTGATGAGGCGGCAGATGAAGAAGTGCATTACAAGCCTGATACACTGATTATGTGTGTTGCATCCTCTGGGTCTGCATCCTCCCCCCCTCCACAACAATGTTATTGATCTGTTTTTTAATGCACAAACCAATAGGTCTCTCATCATCCCAGGTTATTTTCTTGGCTCTCCTCCTTTCCCCGGCAACACAATCCTCTGAAGACAGAAAAAGCAATGTGAAATGAGCTGGAGAGAGATTTTTATTTGCTCAATAAATCAAGAAAGTGGTTCATTTCTGTCTAATAAAACTGTAGATGAGTTGTTTGGCCGTGTGCTCTGAAAAAATAATTTCCAGTTAGTGTCGAAAAAAAAAAAAAAACGCTCCACGGCTCGGTCAGGTTCTGTTCACGTTTATCTTTTTTTTTTTTTTGGAGGGGGGGTCATCATTTGTGAGAAACCTTGAGAAATCGTTATTTGTGATTGTCAGAGGCAGACAGTAATCACGTTCAATCAGCGAGACTCCCTGTGTAATGCAGCTTCTTGTTTTAATGACACATTCAGGTAAACAGGATCATTCCAGGAGAGAGTATTCAATATTCAGCTCATGAAAAGCTGTAAGAAAAAGAAGCTTATGACCCAATAAAAGCTTTTTACATATTCACAATGAATGTTCAGCACCTTCAACTCTATTCATATTATTGACTACTTTATGATCAGCTTGTTTTTTATTTCAACAGTTTCAACTTTTATTGATTTTTTGCATTAATTGTAGCCATTACACTCGTTCATGTAGCAGTATTAGCACACAAGCATCCAGCGTCAGGTGCCAAAGAAAGTAATGCAACATGCGTGAAGGGGAACACAACACCCCTTAACAACAACAGTACAAACACCCCTTGTAAAGGAAAAAAATACAAATAATAATAAATTAAATTAAATTAATAAAAATAAAATAAAATAAAATAAATAAAATAAAATGAAATAAATAGAAATAGTTATGATAATAATAACTAATATATATATATATATATATATATACACATACACACTTCATACATATACATACGCACATAATTTAAGAAACAAATGAGTAAGATTATGATGATAGAATAAATAAATGTATAAATATGTGAAAACAAAACATACAATAGAAAAAGAAAAAAATGTGAACAGAAGTATGATCAGCTTGTTTTTATCCCTCATTTAACCGTCTCTCCGTCTCCTCGCAGACAAGCCAGAAAACTACGACGTGTGGTACGAGAGTCGCTTCGAGGAGTGCGACAGGGAGGCCTGCCTCTCGTTCTCCAAGGACTCGCTTTGCTCCCGGGTCACCGTGGACCACAACTACTACGCCGTGTGCCAGAACCTGCTGTCGCGGTATGCTACGTGGCGGGGCACCACCGGAGGCCTCCTCCACGACCCCCCTGCCCACATATCCAAAGACGGACAACTGGAGGCGCTGTTGGACGAGTGCACCAGACCTAAGAAGCGCTACGGCCGCTTCCAAGCCGCAAAGGAGCTGCGCGAATACCTCACACAGCTAGCCGCCGCCTCCTCCTCCTCGGCCTCAGCCAGGTAATAAAAGGAGTCGGCGTTAGTCCCGACGCACTGACAGACTGGATCCTGAACTCTTTATCCCCCGGACTCTTGAGATCCTGGTTCTTGTACATGATGTCATTCGCCCGCCCTTTTGTGCACTGGAACTGGAAGGTGTTCATGGTCTTGCATCAGGAAGTGTAAGACTCAAAACTTCAAAGCAAGATTTGCTCAAGCTCTTGCTGTTCCCTGACTATGAAAGAGGAGTGTGGCGCTAAGAGATTCTGCTTAGAACCAGGATGGAGAGGGGATAGAGGTAACCTCTGCTCTCCCTGGGTGGGCTCCCATCCTTAAGGGGGGGAGGGGAGAAAGGGCTCTGGTAAACGCATCACTCACTGGACCCGGGCTAAAGCTAACCAGAGCATCCATGCAACAACGAGGCACAGCCCTGACCACATCCATCCTCCTGTTTAGTCTCCGATCTGTGAACTGTTGTGTTTCATGACATTGACTCTTGAATACCTGTCTCATTTTAGCCCCCAGGGGGTCTTGTTTTTTCTTTCAATTTTGAAAATTCTTTTCAGGGCTGGATTTCCGTAGATTGGTGCGTTTACATTTTTTGTTTGCTGCGTTTTATTTCTTTTCTCTCTCTCTCTGTAGCATGGCTGCAGTGAAGGTAAAGGTAGCATGAGTCTCCTGCTGTCAGGCCCAGCTCACAGCAGGTAGAAAGGAGAGGCGGGGGGGGGGGGGGTCGGGGTGTGAGGGGTTCATGCACGAGGAAAAAAGAAAATCCCCCTCAACGGTCACATGAGTCTAATTTCCTGCTTCTTCAATCAATCACTTGATTTCCAGGTTCCAGGATTGTGGCAATCATCTCTTTTTGTCTACATGTGTTTTTTTTTTTCCTTCATATAATTGGAAACAGAGAGTGAGACTGCTGCACATAGGAAAAGGAAAGGGAATAACTGAACAGTGGTGTGTCCCTTGATGCAGATGTGCCTATACCAAAGAGGCTATATGTAATATTAAGAACCCTGAGCGGTACAGAGACGGCACTTCTCCCTCCAGTCGACCCCCAGTAGAGCTGCGATGTGTCCACAGTCAGAGCTCCACGGCCTGCTTACTGATTCTTCTGTTGTGAAATGTTTTTGCGAGAACAACTCCAATCCAGATGTGTACAAATCAAAACGACCCCCTCTGCTTTGTCAGCCTCCCGTATAATTGATAAACGATGACCAGAAAAGGAATAAAGACGTTCTTCTTCAACCAAAAATGAAACGGGGAGATGAAATGATTCTTAAGAGGAGTTTAAAAAAAAAAAAAAAAGCCTGCGTCCACCTAGCGTTTTCTTTCCTCAGCGGCAGTGTCTTTTTTCAGGAGTTTTAAATGAGTAGAGAGCATCCCAGTGTCTTTTTTCCAAGCGCTCTAATGTTTTTGTGCGGCCGCTCCGAGCGCTCAAGTTGAAAATCTTTCAACTTTTCAGAAAAGCGCTGATGACATCACCGCCGCTCTTTCCCACATATATGATATTCCCCGTAGTTTAGCCTCCTACAGATCGTATCTTGTACTCACATCCTCTTTGCTCCGTGTGCAAAGAGGTAAAAAATGATCTCAAATATAAAACATGCAGTAAAAAGCCGTGTCGGTCATACAGCGGCAACCGTTATCAACACACTGTTGTCATGGAGACAGGACGGACGTGCAGCGCTTTTCTTCTCAGAGCACAAACGCTTCATGCAAAACACTCCCGAGCGCACAACCAGCGCTTCTTACGCAGCATAGTAGTGACCTCCAGCGCCAGATTCTCCATAAATGTCTGTAACTGAATCCTTTGGTTAAACTTCTCCTGCTGGGTGCAGGAAGCTCCGTCACGTTCATGTCCAGAATGAAGATCTCCTCGCTGACCTGACCCGTTCTCTGAAATTCTGCGGCCCTGAAATTTCTTTCTTCTTTTTTTTTTATTTTACACTCGCTACACGGAGAGCCGAGAAATTTAAAGCATTATGACAAATATAAATTTAGAAACGACAGGGGACGAGTCAAATAACCTTAAAGGCAGGGTTGGTAATGTTTTGAAAACTAGCATGATTCTGAAAGTGGCATTCCCTCTGTGCTCCCTCATAAGCCACGCCCCCTCACTTACATGCACGAGCGCCGTCGGTCCAGAAGCGGACCTCAGCTCATGCTTTGAGTGTGGTCTCGTGCACACAAGAGGTAGAGAGCGAGCAGGGAGACAGGGAGGCGTTTGATTGGTTCATCAGATTGGTACCTCGTGGCAGACATTGGTTGAAGGTTTTACAGACTTACAAACTGATACAGATGATGGATTCTCTTTGTTCCTTTTTCAGAGAACATGAGTTATTCATTTCTGTCAGGACCTAAAGACAATTTACACCAGAATCTTAAAAAGTGAATCTGGAGGAAAATGACCAACCCTGCCTTTAAAGAAAATCCCACTTCCTGTGTGTGTAGAACTGCCCGACGGAGAGCTTTGTAGCATCGGCCAACAATCACCTAAATCTGAGCCGCTCCATCTGACGGGGGAAAACTAAAAACTCAGCAGTTGCTTTTCTTTTTAAAATTATTTTTAGGTCTTGCGCAGGACCTGGGCGGCCGACGTCACCCCCTTGTCAGTTAGGAAACAGCAATAAAGAGAAGTTTGGCTAATAGGGTTTCTGACTTTAAAGCCCCCCCCCCGACCCCCCTTTTCCTTTTCAGTCCCTCGCCTCTCTCGTTGTGTCTCACACCGTTCTTGTTTCCTGTGTTCCTGGAGGACGTCCAACCTGAACCTGGAGGGATTCTTGCGTTTTGAACTAACTGTCCACTTTTGTACTGTACTTTTCCTTTGGAGTATTATATCAGCATTGTCTGATTTTTCCTGTGCCTTTCATTCAAAAAGTTGTATTGACAACTTTTTAGTGGGTTTAAATATTAAAATAAAAGAGGATATATATATATTAAAATATATATATAGATATATTCACTACTGCTGTGTGTGTGGACTCTTCTTCATTCTCCCTTTTTTAATGAAGTTTCTGGTGATTTTTAGGCTTTTTAAAGATGTGACTCAGTGTGGCACAGCTGGAAGTCGGTGTTTGCCAATTCCTCGTCCTTTCTTCTCGTTCCTCCTCCTCTTGGTTTTCATCTCTCATATCTTCATCTTTCCTCTCATTTGGATCTCTGCCCGAGCTCCCTTTGTTGTTCTTCAACCACTCAGCCGCGATGCGAGTCCCTCTCTCTTTAATCCATATTTTGGAGGGGAGGTGATTTCTGAAACTGTTTCCTTTCAGTGTGTGGATATTTTGTATGAAGGGACGTTAAGATTAAATAGTAAAGGTGTATCAGTCAAAGGAGCTTTAATTGTAGAGGAAAAAAAACAATATGCTAATAGTCAGCGCTGCTTTGATTCCCTGTTTGGACTCGGCTCTTAACTCTCCTGCTCATTATTTCTGTGCATGATATTTTCTGTGCGAGAGTGGAGTGCAGTCTGTGCTAATTCAAAAAGCTCTTCTGTCTCTCACTCGTCGGTCTTCAGCCAGCTCGTGCTCGTAGCATAAAAACAAAGTAGTGCTCGAGCCAGAAATGCCAAAATTAGAAACTTCATGACTGACACTCTCTCTCTCTCTTTTGACTCCGTGGTCATTTCTGCACATCTTCTCCTTCTCCCTCTTCTCTGTAATTGTGCTCTCTTTTCTTTGACACACCCGCTGGTTTGTGTGGAGAGTTGATGTCACACTCATTGTGGTGAAGTGCTGTTTAGCCCTCTGCGCTGTAGCTACACTTAAGCCCCGGCTGATGAATGGCTCCGGGGTTGGCTGGCTATAAGAAAACACCACAGAGAGAGAGTAGAAGGAAAAAAAAAAAACAACAACGAATGGGGCACCAGGCGCTCCACTGCCGCCCCTCTGAGTTTAAATAAACATGAGGCAATTTCAAGGGGTGAGCCGCTGGGGAGTTTATGCATTGGACACAGAGAGGAAGAAATAGGAGACGCTTTGTTACAACTAAAAAAATCCAAATGAGACAATATGGTTGTGGAGGAAGAGCGTCTGCGAATGTGTAAACTCTATAAACGACTGCAAATAGAAACCCCAGAAATTTCCTCGCTGCATTATCCAATTTGCTGCGAGCCAGTTTGCCTCCATAAATCGCAGTCTAAGTTGTCAGAGCCACAATGGATCGAGAGCAGCGTACAGTGTTTTTTTTTTGCAAGCCACGAACAAAAAGATGAGTGGATATGGTTACTGCATGTAGCGGTGGCTTTGGAAGAAAGGAAGCATTACAAACAGGTAGAAAGTCATTGTGGGGTTTTTTTGTCATGTGATTGCCGTCGACACAGCAGCAGTCATTTTAAAGCGTTTTGAAATCCACTCCTGAATTCTTTCTTATCAGCAGAGGGAGGGGGGGAAAGCATTGTAGAGTCTTCTGCTAACCATATTATCTAAATCTCGACATGACTTCAGCGTCGCCTGTCATCTTCCCAACCTGGCAAACTGCTGATATCTTATTCAGGTCATAAAAAAAAGGGGGAGAGTGAGAGAAGGCGCCATATGTTAGATTACGGCGACAAAAGGAGATGAAAAATGAGCAACGGACGATTTTGAAAAAAAAAAAACAGGAAGGGAAAGTTTCTTGGCTAACGTGATGTAAAGTCTATTTCATGCACTGGCAAGCCCCAGGGAGAGACGGCCATTTTTAGAACCAAATTGACCTATATATTTTTTTTAGACATGTCGGGTGAGGGAGTGAGGAAGGGGGGGGATTTGGCCTGCGTTGAGGGTGGGTGAGGAATAACAATGTGTGGAAGCCGTGTCGTGCACATGGCCTCTTCTTGTTTTGGGGGCTTTTTTTTTTTTCTTCTTCCAGTGTTTGGCCGGGGCTCGGGAGGAGCGATCTGAAGACTCTTTGTGAGCCGCTTCTCCTGGAAAATCATCACTAATGCAACACAGAAGTTGCTAGAAGCGATGTTCCTGTCAGGCTGCTTACATCCCTTCAACGCCGTTATGTCACTCTCACATCTATTATGCCTCATTTAGATAGCACTCTGGCTCTGAGGCTTTCTTCCTTTTTTTAATTTCTTTTTCTTTTTTTTTTTTAAAGCTGTCTCATACTTCAGCCCAATAAAAAAAAAACAGAAAACACGGCTGGAATTATTTGTTGTTTGAAAGTAACAGAAGTAACCCTGACAAGGACAAGAAGGAAGCAACGTGGGAGTCTGGGTTTTTCAGTTTTGATACTCGAGTTTGGGACATTTAAACGTGGAGGTTTTTGAATCTCATCACTAAAGGCAAAGGGCATCAAGGACGTGCCACACCTGATTAACAATTCCCTTTCAAAGCAAAGCTCAGGAGTGTCTTTATTGTGGGGGTGGGAACTCTAATCCGCAGAGCCGAGTCAGTTATCATCAAAGCTTTTGATGATAGTGATAGGAAGCCTCACGCACACCGCTCTGCATCAACAGTCTTAGATTTAAGAAGAAAAAAAAAAGAAGCTTTAATTCTGAATTAATCATATTTGCAAAGGTGCATTACATTCAGTCGAACGCTTTCTTTAATCAGCACTTTGATCTGCGAGTGCTCAAAGCAACCCGAGGCAACCAACACAGCTCTGAAAGTGGAAAAAAAATGATCCATGTTGAAATCAGAAAAACTGTTAAATTACTCAATATGTCAGGCAGAAGTGCCCAGAAAATCATTACAACACTTGGCCAACTGAGACGAGCTGCTTTTTTTTT